ACCTAGAACGTGCGTGTGTGTATATATGTATATATACACCCTGTAAACCAAAGCAAACCCAATTGAGGGCTCATAGTTAGGACTCAGGAAAAAGGAATAGCCAATAGTAGGGGCCCATCTAAGCCAGGTTCCCATTTCATACTGCACGTTCTTTTCCATTGTATTCTCCGTTGTTTAGGATTTCAGGTCCCTTCAATCCTAGATCCGTAAATCCTAAACCCCAAAATCCTAAACCAGCCCTGAATCCTCAACTCCAAAACCCTAAATCCTAAACCCTAGACTGTTCAGGTACCGCTCTGGACAGACTTCAGGCCCCCACACTATGGCCCGCTGGCGAGGGCCATGCACGACAGAGGAGTAGCTGGCCTTTGGTTAGAAATGCTTACACGAGCTACTGTCAATATTACCCTTGTTAAGGGACCCTTAACAGCGAACATAGGGGTCCTGTTTGTAGTTTAGTATAGTCCCTAATGCTGTCCCTTATAAGGAACCCATGTCCATTAAACTGTGTAGGAAGTATTGACGTTGCTATAGGGTTTAGGGTTTAGGATTATTTATGGTTATATAGGGGTTTCCGACAAGTAGAGGGTACCTTCTGGGGCTCCCAAAATTGAAGACTATGGTATATGGAGTCTATACGGGGGTCCCCTTCTTTATGCAAACTACCATATAGGGCTTAAGGCTGCGAACTTAGGATTTGGGGTTCATCTAGCCTTTAGGCTCTAGTCCTTCCGGTTCAGGCATTGGGGCGTAAGGTTGGGGTTGATGTGTCGAGTCTAGGGATGAGGGTTCCAGGTGTTCATGAATGGGCTTGCTATGGGACCCAGGTCAGGAGGGCACTTGAACTTGACGCTTCATGGGAAGGTTTCACCAAGATCGGCAAGTAAGTACCCCCCCCCTCAAAAAAAAATAAGATACTACCACGGTAGAGTGGTCGGGCTTTTTGAGGTTCAGGGCCCGCGCGTTGGGATGTTTTTCGGCTTTGAATATTTGATGTCCAAGCTGACTTGATACATCGCGCTGATGCGAAAAAGCCTTGCCTTATCTAATCACTTCCAGCAAACGGCAGCCGACGCCCCCTCTCCAACTTGAATGATCTTGGGATATCTGGTGCCCATAAAATCAGTCGTTAGGACGACAGTCTTTGTATGACGTTGATGATGAGGAGCAACATAAGTTAAGTTCTTTGATCAGAATAAAGCGCTGAGAACACAGGGAGTTCCTTTCGGTTGTTCATTCGATATTCACGAAGACAATGGAGACCCGGGCTCAGTTGGCATCATGATCTTGATTACTCTTTCCTCGCAGATGCGGGTTGTTCATGATACGGCAAAGGCAAGGCGCTGGAGGCCTGTGACCGGGGCCTTCGATTCATGATTGACGGTTTGTGGTTTAGGGGGGATATTTTGTTACCGGAGGCCTTCAGTCATGCAGGTGGGGGGGCGGAAGGGCCATACCTGGAAGGGACTATAGTACACCAAACGTAACAGAAACATACAGATATCCAATAGTCCTAAGCCTTAAAAGCTAACTCCGGGTTGTTGTTGAATCGCATCCTGCCAGTCGTATGTTTGCCTGAACCCATTACTACAAGGGTCCTGAACATATTTTTAATTTCTGTTACCTAGAATCCTAATATTTAGCTGAAATTTTCATTTCTACTGGGGTTCCAAATCCCTTAGAGATTACAGAAAAACATGATCAGCGATCAGTTTTATTTGTAACCCGCAAAACGGTCTCGAATTAGACTTGAAAAGGGGGGATTGCATAGGATTGCCTTTGACACACAAAGACCCCATGCCTGCCCATGCAAAGCGCGCGCACTTCCCGTGGTGGGGGGACGAGATCCACACTCAAGCCCAGGAAGAAATAAAGCCAAGGATGGGACCTCCCCTATGCGTACAGCCATCTTGAGAAGCGCATAAGTTCAAGTCCTGAGCCCTGCACCTTTTGTCATGTTCTCTCAGGCTTACAGCGTGCAATGATATCCCTAAAATTCGTTAGCGTGTTGAATTCACGTTATACGGTCCCTTTGGATTATTGGTGATAACACCAAGCGGTCTTTTTGGCGGTGTCCATACAAAAATGGCTCTACCTCACCCAGTCCCTGAGCCCTTAACGGTAAACCTCCAGGGACTGTAGGAGGGACCCCTAATAGGGACCCTTACGTAATCCCATTGCCATATATAGCCTGTATATTGTCATTATATTGCCCCTATATTCTTAAGAAGTTCCCATATTAGCCTCCATAAGCTTCAAGGGTCCCTGTTAGGCGTCCCCCCCTAAAATTCTTAGAAAACCTGACGCTCTGAGACCCAAACCCTAAACAATTAAAGTCCAGCCCCTGAAATCCGAACAGGGAGAGGAATACCCCCTAAGTAAGGAATCTAGCTTAAATCATATTGGGGACCCTAGTACCTTGTAGGGTATATGCCTTAATTTAAGGGCCCTAGGCCCCTAAACCCTCAGCCCCTAAACTCCCTAAAGCCCTGAACCCCTCAACCCTAAGCCCCCCAAACCAAACCATCTGAGGATGGCAGGCTGCTTCGGCGGGTACGACTGCCCAAAGGTCTGCCACTACACGCGTGCTCCCAAGCTGTACGAGTGAAGAGGGTCTAGGGTTTAGGGTTTGGGGTTTAGAACCCTAAACCCTAAACCTTCACCCCCAGAAATCTAGGTTGGGGATTTCGGGCTGAAGGTTTGGGATTTAGGGCCTAGGGGTGAGCGTTTAGGGATTCGCGTTGAGGGTGTGGGGCTGAAGCTTTTTGGAGTCCTCCGAATTAGATGGAAGCATGTACCCGTGGATGGTGTTTCGTTTGTGTAGGGTGCTTAGGGTTAGGAGGGCATTGCTGGTAAAAGGGTGTTGTTGACAAGTTCTCGACATCCTTTGTAAATTAGATGGCGCAGGATTATTCAGCTGGCAACTCTCAGCGACAGCAAAACTAATGAAACATGTGTGTAGATGGATTATACATGGGATGCACGGGTGTAGGTACCAGTGAATCCTGATTATATGAAGGTTATTTTGGGTTGCAGAGGACATAAGCCTTGCAAGCGTGATAGTAGTGATTTGGATTTCACCTTGATACTTTGGATAGTAAGAGATGTCCGGATAAACCGCCTTATCAGCGGTACACAAACGAGGCAATCACTGCTGATCGCAGCAATCAGGTCCACAGAGAGAAGGTGGTAACGAAGGCTGAAGCTCATGCCCTATTTTCAGCATACGTTGAGGCATGTCTCAGGGACGCAAGCTTTGGGATTGAGAGTGCTTCATGGATAGGCCCAAAGTGGAGTTCCTGAGTAGAGCCGGACACTTGGGGTTGTAGAATGATCCTGCGCCAGAGGATTGTGTCCTGGCACGCCGGGAAGTTCAAAATATGGGGCTTTAGTCGGAACAACGAGAAGAGAAACAAACAACGATAACACAGACCATAAGGTCCAACATTTGGAAAACACGATAAGAAGAAAATAGACCACAGCAACATTTCAGGTCATGCAAACAAGAACGGGCCTTCATACAACCCCACTTCTTGCAAGTGAAACTTCTAACTTCCTACTGTCTCGTATTTCTTCTTTGTTGCTGTGCTTAATTTAGTCTGGAATGGTTGCATAAGCCCCAATACGATACTAAACTTCAAATTTGACGTGATGCAACGACGCATTTTCTGCTGAGATGATTTTAGTGCCGATGCTTAAGCAGGGCGTGGGGCTGCGTAAGAGCAGTCCGCCTGGCAGCCCGGCCCCTTACTGTGGGCAGTAATCGTTATTGGCCCCTCTATGGGCCCACACTTGCTAAGAAATGGTCCGCCTTCAAGTGCACAAACACCTTGCTTGGAGGGTCAGGGGAACTTAGTAACTATACTTATATCCCCTAGAAACCATATGATGAGCCCCAATCCTTAAACCTTCAAGCCTGGCTTCCTTGCCTGAACCAAAACCCCATGCTTGGTTTCTTGAGACCATCTGTGCTATAGTCTAAACTCCTGAAAGGGGATTATGTAATGGATTAGTTTCGTGGGGGACTACTCAAAGGGGGAAACAAGGGGGATACTAGGAGTTTAGACAATAACTCATCTGAGGATGCTGACTACCACGCGCAGCTGAACGTGGCTAATGCCATCAAGAAACTTGCTATAGTTTTCCCTGGTCCGTCAGGTTTACTGGTCGTTGCCTAGCAAAGAGGTGAAAGAAAAGGGCTTTTCTAATCAGTCCAAGATAACCCCAAAAACCTTAACCCCTACCGTTAGAACGTACCTTCGATGGATCCTCAAATTCCGCTCGCTCAGTTCCCGCTAGCCATGAGCCGGTTTTAGGTGTTAAGTGTGCGCTGTTATTGCTAGTACTGTTGTTATTATTGTCATTGTTTTTGTCCTAAGTGTTATTAGTACTATTATTATTGCTATTCCTAACATTCTTATTATTACTACTTTTAGGGTTCAGGATCTCAGCGCTGTGAGGCCGGAATCAGCAGCAAGTAGGGTGTGTTTTTTGGGTTTTCACTGCAAACACAGCCGGAAAAGTTTATGGGTCAAGGGAAGATTCCGTGAAGCTACAGTCCCCTGTTCCTGATTTCCTCCTAGGGGGCAGCACAAACCCTCATGATGTGACATCAGTTCTTTGCCTGTCTAAGCGCACCCCAGTTCGACGTATGTATGTTCTTGGTTTGGGCTTGGGTTTAGAGTTGACGCTGTTGTTTTCGCGCCGGAAGGCCTTCCGGGTGTTTTCGCTTTGGCATTCCCAGTCTTGCAGTAAACTTGCACATACATGGGGATGTATAGGGGTTCTAGTTCAGGAAGCTGGGGGTACCTTGAGGTACACAGGCAGTGGATGAAGTGAACACCAACACTCCCTAAACCCTGAGCCTAGATACCCCTAAGGGTCCAAGCACCCAAATAATAGGGCTTTAGGGCCCAGATACCATCAATATTAGCCCCAAAACTTCATTTTTTGGGTCCTTGGACCCTTAGGGTACCTTATTCAGTTATTCAGCTGCCAAGGAAGTTTGCCCCAGAGCGCAAGCCAGACCTCTTCATCAACGTGGGCGACAACTTCTACTGGGGAGGCGCTTTGGTGTAAAAGCCTGAAAGTTATTCCACTTAATTCCTTAGACTTGCGGTTGCTTAAGGGGGAGTGGGATGTGAATAACGAGACTACTCTAAGGGTATATAAAGGGAATATACAAGGATTACTATCATCATCCACTCCCACACACTCCCTTAAAGTAAGTAGATTATAAGATAAATCGCAGTATAGCATGCCTTATTCTAATGCTCAACATTCATGGGCTGCTCTTCATGACAGCGCAAGTCGTATTGTGTAGGGAAATGGTGCATCCAGAAGGTTGTGGGAGCTCATTCGTAGGGATGACCGTGTAAGGTGTGAACACCTACTGCGGAACGCCGATGCACAAGATCGATCCGGTCACGGCACACCAGTTCCGGGAAATCTACGAGAGCCCTCGCTGTGCTAGCACGATAAGATTAGGGTTTAGGGTTTAGGGAACCCTAACCCAACAGCCAAACACAACCAAAGCCCTCTCCTGACAGAGATATCTCCCAATGACATGCCTTCCAAACATCGTCAGGTGGGTTGCGTCCAGTGCCTCCCCACCCATGGTACGGTGCCTCGCATATTTCCGTAGTGATTACAGTGTCCCACCCACCCGCACTCATCATGATGGGCGCGACTTCTATGATACCCAGAAGGCATGATTCCCGTAAGACCTTAAGGTCCAAGCCCTGAACCCTAAACAGACCTTATCCTGCTCAAGCTTGAGGAATGTCTACCATGGACCTGGCGTTGATGGCAAGCCATGGCTCAGCGTGCTGGGCAACCACGACTACGGCGGCACCTGGGTAGCAATTTACTGGCGTAAATCATGCTTAATTGCTGAGATCAGCAGCAAACGCAAGGTAGCAGCAAAGGAGCGTTGCCTACTGGCTAGAGGAAAAGCTGCAATTGCAATGTACGGAGACAAGTTGCGAAGCAAGCCGCGTCTTATCAACTTCAGACATTGAGATGGACAAGTCTTAAATTTCACATAGAGAATCAACACCCTAAGGGTCCAAGGACCCAGATAATACGGCTTTAGGGACCAAATTCCACTAATATGATAGTATTTGGGCCCTAAAACCCTATTATTTGGGTCCTATATACCCTTATATAATCCTATATATTCCTATATGTTCCCCTATATAACCCCATTATTTGGGTCCTTGGATCCTCAGCAACAGTGTGTGGGCGGCCTCAGACCTTCTAAAAACCTTACATTCCACAAGTTTCACTTTAGCAAGATGGGTTTTGGGTTTTGGGTTTAGGGTTTAGGGTTTAGGATTTAGGGCTTAGGGTTTAGGGTTTTGGGTTGCACTCCGTGATAGATTCCAGCTCCCACAGAGCTTCAGCCCATCCAGCAAGGCTTCTGCAGACAGCTTAACGGCACAGGGTCTGTGAGTCGCCCACCTTTCATAGTCATCCCCGTGTGAGCTATAGTCTAACTAAACTCCTTAAGGGGGGATTATATGGGGGGTAATATAGGGGACTGCTATAGGGGGTTACTAAGGGGGATACTAGGAGTTTAGACTATGGCTCATGTCTGGGATTCCGTCTAAAAATGCTGTGAACCCTGTAATCTCGGAGTTGGATTCCAAAAGACCTGGCAAAGCCTCTAGCTTTGCCAATGATACTTCTTCCAAGACGGCCAAGGCAGTAAACATGCCTGTAGTCCCCGCAGCAAGAAAACGTATTGAGGGAGATTACCCAAGAACTAATGCAAAACCCGATGGAAGGAACATCAAAATGGAATGGAAACTGGGGTCAATTCCGTATCGTGCATAACTAGGGATCCACGTATACCAATAATGCCTAGAGTGGGCCCGAAAGTCCGTAATTAGTACCTACATTGGGCTATTTGGATCCTAGGGCATTCCTCGACCGCTGCAGGTACAGTAGTTCTTACGCTTGTTACCATTGTTGGCATGGTGATTATGCGGTGCATCTTTCACCTTCTACTCTGACTGCCGCAGCTCTCGCGATTCTAAACTTCACCGGTCTTACCTTACTTCTGCCATTGCAAGTGTTGCTTGCTAAGCTCCTATTCCTAGTTGAAAGCCGGCTATCCGCTATCATTCCAAAGCCCTACACCATGATGTCAAAGCCTGGATCTTCAATGGCCAACAGTATTCCCCAACAGACATCAGAAAACCATGTCATAACATAGCCCAAGGCTTTATTCCAAAAAGTCAGGCTGCTACATTGATTACATATAATCCACTCAGAACCGCATGTTAATTGTCCGTTGTCTTCTTTTCCTCTTTATTTTCCATCAATTCTTCAGGCATGACGCCCTATTTCCTACATGCCCTCGTGTGAGGGTTTAGGGGCTAGGGTATAATCTTTCATTACAGCCCAGGTTTCCAGTTCAACAAAGCGTGGGATCAGCAGATCAGCTACACCTGGGCCAGCGACCGATGGGTCATGCCAGGCAGGGCTTGGGAATTTGGATGTTACTGGCTGTGCATGCTTAAGGTTTAGTGGTCAGGGTATAGGGGTTCAAGGCAAAGGGAAGCAGAATTTGCAATTGAGGGTTCAGCGCCAGAGAAGAATTGTTGATGGTAACAGGCGTGGGGCTTGCCAACTCATGCACGAAAGAGCTGCCTGGAAGTGAGCCATGCCGTTCGATCTACATGCACACCTTGTTGCTGACCCTAGACTGACGTGAAATCTCAGGCCCTCAGCCCTGGAAGCCGTTTCACCTAGACCTTCAAAAGTCGTTGGCCTCAGGCCAGTATTTCATGCAGCGTGTGGAGTACCCGGGCTTCTCCGTGGCTTGGCATTTGTAATTCCCCAAGGGTCCAAGGACCCAAATAAAGGGGTTACATAGGGGGATATATAGGAATATATAGGATTATATAAGGGCATATAGGACCCAAATAATAGGGTTTTAGGGCCCAAATACTATAGTGTTAATGGTATTTGGGCCCTAAAACCCTATTATTTGGGTCCTTGGACCCTTAGGGATTGGCATTGTGCATACGTTTGATCTTGAGATGTCATTCTGACAGGGTCCTTGCTAAGAACTTCACATGGGTGGTTGTCAAGATTATGGTCCCATTTTGGGTATGCTAAATATTAGGTGCCGTATTATAATGGGGATCTGAAAAGGGGTCATAATTTTGACAACCACCCTCATGAACCTCCGAGTTGGGACTCTGACCCTTTTGGAGCTTTAAAGTGGCGTGCCCAGTGGGGATAGTTTATGGTGGAATTCAATTTGGCTCTGCGACCTCTAACATTTGAGATGTCCACGTCCACCACAAGATATGTCCTTGAACGGGGTACATGAGGAGTAGAGGCGCGGGGCATGTTTTAATAAGGGGGAAGTGGTTGGTATAGGGGATCCCTAAGCCCTAATCCCTGTTTAGCTTCAGGGTTTAGGGTTTAGGGTTTGTCGGTGTTTAGGGGTTTAGGGTTCAGGGTTTAGGGGTTTAGGATTTAGGGTTATGTCAAAGCTTAAGCACTGAGCTCAATCCGCTTCAGGGTTCTGCACCCGCCTGTCAGAATGCTCCCCAACCCAGAAGTTTCAACAACCACGTTGTTTTGTTCTAGGGTTCTGGCAGCTTGGGGTTTTAGAGTCATTTGAGTAACTCAGGGTTCTCGTAGCTTGGGGTGTTACAGTTTTTCAAGTAACTTAAGAGTCTTTGTTTTGGAGCTGCGGGGTTTTCAATCGAAGGGCCGGGCCTCACTCATCAGACGCAGCGTGCATATTCTTTTTTTTTTTTTATCAGAGCGGGTTGCTTCGTGCGAGGAAAGCCAAGTTTTGCTTGTCCACGCAGACGTAGGGAGAGGACATCGTGATTTTTGCCCCCCCCCCCTAGTAAGAAGAGATATTCCCATATACAGATATAACTTCTTAATGGAATTCAGTTGGAGGGCAAAATGCCTGCAGTAATGATGCATTTTCTGGAATGCACAGGAAGTCCTTAGTCACACGGGCAGGAACCATTTGAGGCAGAGTCTAAAGTCCTAGTATCCCCCTTCATATCCCCTATAGTAGTTTCCTATACAATCCCCTTAAGGAGTTTGAAGTGGGGCTGCCGGTTCAAACTTTGGTTTGGCCAACTGAAACCTGGCTGACTAAGCCTGGCTTGCTAAGCAGTGTATGGAAAGGACGGGATCCTGCTGATGTCTAGATCCTAATACTACTGAATCCCTCTTAAGGTTTTACGGGTTGCGATTCCCAATACTACTGAATCCTCTTAAGGGTTGTGATTCCCAATGCTACTGAATCCCTTTGTAGGATTGTGATTTCCAATGCTACTGATTGCCTCTTAAGGGTTGAGATTCCTAAACCTACTGAATGCCTCCTAAGGGTTGTGATTCCCAAAACCTTACACCCCTCTTCCTTGGTGCTAATGTTCAGTCCTGTTTATGGCGCAGACGAGCTCCGACAGGTGGAGATTTTCATGCTCGACTCTAATGCCATGGACTCGCATCCTAAGAGCCTCGTTTTGGGTTTAGGGCCCTAGGGATTCAAATAGCCCAACGTAGGTAATAGTAATAGACTTTAGGGCCCAATGTAGGCATTACCTGTATACTTGGATCCCTAGGGTTAGTATCCTGGGAGTTGCGGCTTCTGAAGGCGGCTTCGGTTTCCTGACCCCTAAACCTTTTTCTCGGTTACCTTTCCTCAGTTTTGCGCATATTTTCGCGGGCTCGTCCATATCCCTACAGTTTATGCAGAGAATGCTAGCTCGTATAGCAGGATGTGCCCATTCACGAAATTGTTCAGCTTTTGGGTGTTCAACTGTTCCTTGAAGCCTTAAACCAGAATTGGGAGCTAGAACATCTTTGAGCTGCAGACTCGTAAGTGGGAGTCTAAATGCTGTGATATTGGAGTTTCTGAAAATTATGAAACCCTTGTAAATGCATGCACACATGCAGCAAGAATCTGTTTGAGATGCAGAAGGGGCCGATGCAGAAGGGGCCCCCAGTTTCGAGAAACACAATGAACAACCGTTTATCCACGTTCGTTTCTTGGCGTCCATGCTCCAAGACTACCTTGCCCGCAAAGACTGCTCGTCATATGCCAAGCTTACACTGAGTCATTTCCAAAAAATAGACCGTACACGTGATGTATGGGCGGCGGCAGTACACGCGTACACATGCCCTCATGCATGTGCTTGTTGATTCATGTATGCAAGCATGGTTGTATCCTTGCACATCCGTACAGCTTAAGAGTTGATATGTATGTATCTGTTTTGTGTGTATGTGTACTTTTACATATGAGAATGATTAGTACATAGAGTCTACCCTTCCTGGCCAAGGAGTGCAGATCCCAAGCACAACATCTGCGGTGCTGCGCACAATCCGCCGGGGGCCACCTGCGCTGGCACAGGCCCCTCAACCGAGAGAAATTAGGAGGTTTCCCAAAATTAGGAGTACCTTTTTAGGGGTCCCTATAAGAAGGACTATAGTATTTTGGGGTCTATATTGGGGTCCCCTTCTTTTGGGAAACTACCACTTTTCCCTTGTCACCTCCCTTAATATTGAACCCCCCCACCCCCCCACCCCTTATATGAAACATCCCAATATATTACAATATGCGGCAAAGGGAATATTGAATTTCATTGGAGCAAGCAACTCTTGCACCATGTTGCGTACCTTATACCCCAAACTACAGGATTTTGGATCCCAATTGGTTGCAAGATTCCTCCAGCCAGCATTTTTTCTGAAGTCGTTGCCCTAAACCCAGAAAACTAAACCACCATGTCTACACTTCTGGAGCTCGGACTTGGGTCCCAACATCGCCTACTTTCAGGCTTCCGGCTTCTTTACGTGTTAGCAAGTAAACAGGAAGTTGTTTTGGGTGCGAATACTGGGATCCAGGCTTGAAGAAGAAGTAAACAGGAAGTTGTTTTGCGTGCGAATACTGGGATCCAGGCTTGAAGAAGAGCGCATGTGGTTGTTTCTCGTTATGGCCTCTTTCCTAACTAAGGTTCTGTCATTCCCATACCTAGAAGGATCTGCGACTTCACTCCGGGGCTTAGGGATTTCGGGGTTGGTGAGGCTGATTGCTTAGGCTTAGCATGTGTCGTTTTGAAGGCCATTTCGACATTTCCGAGTAAAGTATGCGCTCACTGGCGATGCACATCGTTGTAAAATTCCCGTATGCGCACAGGGCAGGGCCTAGGTGTACTCACATACTCTGTTGACAAAACCCACAAGCCTTCCAGCATTGTCTTCATAGCTTCGTGCTTCCTCTTGAGTCTTTCAGGAGCTTTGTAGTTCGCATGGTTGCATAGTGGCCATTCTGGAGCTATTCAAAAGCTGGCACAACAGCTGTCACTGTTTGAGGCTCGGAGCATTTGAAGCTTTTTCTGGGGGGGGTGCTCGCACCAGGATTGGTCATTTTTCGGGGGGTACCATCTCCAGATGTAGCCGCACAGTCCCCAGTACTGGCACGCAAAAATTGAATCAGGATGCTACCCAGAGGGTCCACATATACAACCATTAGGGAATTGGGACCCATAATTCCTTTATAGTATGGTATTTTGGGGCCTAATTCCCTAATAGTTGTATATACGGACCCTCTGGGCTACGAATGTTCTTCAGCTGTTTCCTCCCTTCTCCGGAAGTTCCAACGTTTGACTATCCCGCAAAAAGCGTGAGACCTTGAATGCCGAACTCTGATTTCTGCACAAACCCTAAACCCTAAACCCCTAAACTGACCTTGTGCCTTAACCTTGAACTCTACACACTTGGGTTACATTGGGGTAATTTTAGGGTTATATTGGGGTAATATTAGTTTAGGGTATTTATACTGGGTCAATATTCGAGTTATGTTGGTCTAATATTAGGGTTATAGTGAGGTAGTATTCGGGTTATACTGGGGTAATACTGGGAGAATGGAAAAGAAAATGGAAAACGACAATGGTAGGCTATATATTGGGGTTATATTGGGAGAATGGAAAAGAGAATGGAAACTACAGGGATTATAGGGATTATATACGGTTTATATACGGATTATCTTAAGGTTATATTGGGGTCATATTGGGCGAATGGACAATAACATGGAAACTACTTTTCAGGGTTTAGGGTTTAGGGCAGACTGTGAGGTGGGCCCAAGGACCTTGATGCCTGCTTCAAGTTCATGTGGGACACCTGGAGAAGCTTCTAGGCTGAATCAGAGCTCCGTGTCAAGGAATATTGTGGGTATCAACCCTAAACCCTCAACCCTAAACCCTGAACAACCCTAAACCCTCCACCCTAAACCCCAGTTCAGGCTTCAGCGATGTGGCTTTCAGGGCTGAAGGACTTTAGGGTTTAGGACTTGGAGTTTCAGGCTGGTCAGAGCATGAAAGAAAGCAGGGCGCCGAAATTCCTAAATTCTACGCCTTGAATCCTAAAGCCTAAACCCTAAACCCCAAATTGTAGTTTCCATTCTCTTTTCCATTCTCCCGATATAGCCCCTATATAACCCCCATATTCTATCCACTTAAGAGAGACTATAGCCCCTAAACCCTATACCCTAAACAGTAGTTTCCATTTTCTTTTCCATTCTCCCAATATAACCCCCTATATACCCCATAGATATGGCTTAGTCTGAAAGCCAAAGCTTTGTCAGCTGAAGCCCTCAGAGCTGATTGGCGTGCTGACTTGTAGACACTACCGGTAGCCTGACCCGCTTACTGCTTAGTTACACCTTGATAGTAACTGATACCCTAAACCCCTAAACCCTAAACCCTAAACCCAAAAAATTAGTAGGTAACAGGGTTGAGACTTCTCAAGTTCAGGGGCTCGGAGATGCATGTATATCTCAAGCTCTGTCTTAGCTATTTCTTTGCGATGTGGCTCTGCAGGGCGTTCGCTTGTTGTGCTTGATTGCGGTTACCGTACACACTGCCCTGACCGCGCGTGCAATGCTTGGGATTTCGGAGTTGCTACGGCTCTTTGTTCAAGCTTAAGGTCTTCATAACAGGACCGTAATTTCAAGAAACTCTCAACCCACCAACCCTGAAATGCTGTATTTGCCTCGTTGCTAAGAGAATTCGGGTGGATAGCGTTCTTGGGCTGCACGATTAAAGCTGCCTCACCCTAAAACTCAAAGAATGGATGCCTCAGCCGTACATAGCCTTTGCACAATCCACCCTGCACAACATCCCTTCAGAGCTATGCCCAGCCTAAGACCCCAAAGACCTTCGGTTTTAAGATTTCATACGAGAATTCATACTCTACATAAGGCCCTAATTCAAACTAAACGTTTTTTCCGCCCAACGGAATGTCCTGCGCCCAATAAGGTCAGCAGAAGTGGACAGAGAAGAAGCTCCAGGAGTCCACAGTGATCTGTCATGGGTTGAGTACGGACCTAAATAGTTGCCGTTTCATGGTCCTAGACACTTCCAAGGGATTGTAGGGGATACAGGGCTTAGGATACAAGTGGAGGATCAAGTGGAAAAAACATGGAACATCAATTTTAAACTGGGCTTACGTAAGGGTTTTAGGGATAATTGCCGATATAATGGTCCTCGATTCCTTGTATCATCGTGGTCAAGGGTACTTCGAATAGACCGCATCATGAACTTGGTGATTAAAATTTACCTAGGCCGCTAGTCCCCTACATTACATAGTCCCCAATAAACCATATGAGCGACTGCTTTTATTATCGTGTAGGAGCCAAAAGCAGGCAGAGATAAAATTCAGGGACATGAGCAAAACCCTAGTAAAGCGATAGGGCGCCCCCCAAAAGCGATACCCCCGAAATGGATGACAGCACTGTGCAAAAACCCTGTAAAGCGATAGGCCCCCCCCCCAAAGCGATTTTTTTACTGAGCTGTTTACTAATAATTTAGGTAGCTGCTCATATATATACTCGTCCCAGCCCCAAAAGGCTTTGGGACTCACTGAAATATACTCCAAGCCCAAAGATATCAACCCTGCTTGCGTTTCATGTTCACGCTCTTCACGCATTATTGCTTGTTTTTCCAGCCCCCTAAACCCTGAACCTGGATTCCAGGGGCTCCTGGCTAACAGATGAGCAGTATTTTATATGGGGATACTATGGTACCCGATATAGAGTAAGATTATATCCTCCTTTTGGGGTATAGCATTTTATGTAAGGAATATAGTCTTACTGGGTTTAACCACCAAAAAAACGGTACTCAGATGTTCTAATGCGTAACGCTTCGGGTTTCGAATCTAGGGCCAACCATGGTAGGACCATCTTACCCGGGATTTCTGTATGAAAAATCCTGGGCAACCATGTCTTATCTGTCCATATCCCGGACATCATGCTAGGATGCGTATGTGCAGACATGCATAAAGTTTACCTGCTGCAGATGTTATGTCATTCCAAGTTCCAGACAGGTCCAAAGCCCTGAGCCCTACCTCAAATCATGGTCCATATAGCTGTACACCCAGAACCTGTGGCCCCCAGCCCTTAGCCTTTACCCAAACCCAAACCCTAGTCCACTAAACCCCAAGCCCTGGCCCTGCACCTCTGAAACCCACACGCCCAAGACAAGTCCAAAGATCAGCCTGAAGCCTACAAATAATACCAATACCGGAGAATCAAATTTATGGACAATGAAATGGAAACCGGGGATATGAAGGGGCTATGTATGGATCCAAGTACACAAATGTTGATTTTTTGAAGCCCGACGAATTCAAATCACAAATGCTCTGGAGGAGTCCACCGCAGACTGGCAGCTCGTTGCCACCCACTTCCAGTGCGGACATCAGGCTCGGGGTTTTGGGCAAAGCTTCAGGGTTCAAGGCTGTTTGAGGTGTTAGAGCTTAATTCCTTATCCGACAAATTTACGGTATGTTGGGGTTACACTGGGGTTATATTGGAGTAATGGAAAATAAAATGGAAACTACTCTTCATTCAGGGTTTAGGGTCTAGGGCAAAGCTCCGGGGGATGGTAGGGGTAGGGCTTAATGAGGAGTTGAGAATGTGGAGTGAAAAACCTTAAACCCTAAGCCCCAAACCCTTGAACCCTAAGCCTGTTCAATTTTTTAGGGTTCTGGCGTAGCATCAGGGACCTTTGGTACTGCAGATTTAGGATGTGAGTTCAGTTTTTTGGGGTTCTGAGTTCGGAGTCTACCCGAAGGCTGCCATATAGTTCTAGTGTGGTGGTAAGGGGTTCAACTCAAACTATGCAAAGAGCAGCGCCATAGGGTTTCCACCACAGAGAATGTGGGAGGATTGAAAGACTCGGAAGTAGCGTGGACTTTGTGGATTTGCAGTGCGGCTCAGGTTTTGTTGACAATCAAGGTCAAGTGTAGTTTTGGCGCTGGGCGAAAGGGACGAAGGTGTAAGGTTTGGGTGGTCATGGTCTACAGATTTGTGGATTTAGGTATACCAACCTTATATTATATTAAAAAAAAACTATATAAACCCCACATAACCATTATATAATCCCTACAAGCCCCCAATAATAACCCTCAAGCCATGGCCTGTCAACACCCTAGTCCGAAAGCCCTGCAGACATGAAACGCGTGTTTTATGACGGCACATTCATGGTTATCGGGGGAAGGTTTTTGAGATGGGTATAAGAGCTCAGAGGTTATTTAGACGTATGTATGGATCAAACCTTCCCGCCTTTGGGATGAGACTCGTGGCCGTTTTATGAAGGATTTTTGTTCTTGCTTGCTTTCCCTGCTAACGGTCCTCCGATCCGCCAAAAAAACTTTTGAAGTCAACCTACACCCCAAACCCTGAATAGTAGTTTCCATTTTGTTTCCATTATCCCGATATAGCCCCTATAAAACCCCAATATAACCCCAACAAACTGTATACTAGCTCCTAGAGCAGTAGCCTCTCAGCTTGATCCCTGAAGCCTAAACACCCTGGGTTTAGGGTTTGGACCCTGAACTCTGGACGCTGGAAACCCCTTGAATCCTAAGCACTATTCCGCAAATCCCACGCCAGCTCTGGAAGGGTCCCATCACGTCATGCGGCCTTTTGCCTTGTTTCTGGTCCCAGCTTTCAAACAGCTTTAGCACTCCAAGCACCTCTCAGTCTGCGTCACCCGCTTTTAACCCTTTCAGCCCCAATCCCTGAATCCTGGGCCCTGTACTATACCACATTATTAATTGCTATAGTTTACTATACCATACCATACTATACTAAGCCCTATACCCTAAACCCTTTGTAACCCTTAATCGTATACAAGCCCTACACGGTATATAGGCATATCTCTATACACATGTGTAAAAATACATGTATGCTATAACCCTTCATTAAAATGACCTCGAGCAAGGCCCAGTGGTACAAGAAGCTGCACCAGAAGCTAGGACTCGACCTCCTGGTCACTGGCCACACGCACGTGTGCACCGGCTGAGGGTTTAGGCTTCAGGGGTTCAGGGTTTTAGGGTTTAGGGCTTTATGGCTCTATTCTTTAGTTAGGGTTTAGGGCTTTAGGGAGCTTAGGGTGCAGCCTTACGGGCTTAAGGGCTTTGACTTCAGGATTTTGGGTGGATTAGGGTGGATGCATTTCCCCAAGCTCGTGTTGAACTGCTCAGTTCAGGGGTCCCATCACGGCGACAGTCCTTTGGAGACGCACCTGCGCAGGGTTCGTTTCTTAGGTCGGAGGTAGACTCTGTTCAAAGTTCAAACGCAGTGTTGGCGCCCATTTCGGCACCCCATTTGCTATACCAGGCATTTCTCAGAAAAAGGATTCACGCACATACCATTCAGATATGTGGTCCCCCTTTTTGACGGACCGCAACTAAGAATGAAATCCGTTTTTTGGCTCTCCGCGGTCCACAAACGGAGTCACTCCTACAGGATCTGTGCTATTTCAGGGTCCATACGGTTAGATGAAGGGTGTCTTGCGCGACTTATGACCTTCAAAACACTGTAAATCACTGGGTTAGAAGATGAGGTGGTGCAGGCCTGCAAAAATCCTCAAACTGGGCAGACACCCCTGAGCCTATAGTCCCCCTTAAGTAGATAGAATATGGGGTATATGGGGATCTTATTATTATATACCCAAAGCCATATTCTATCTACATAAGGGGGACTATAGGACTTGAAGTCTCTTTGCTAAAGGCTTCGCCCCAATGCTGTGCACACGCCGTCTATCCTTCTACTCAGATTCCAATGCGAGTGAAGCTCAACTGGACTATCGGCATTGCGCATCCAACGAATCTTCAAGCAAAGCAAGCCGCGGTCCGCCAACCTGAATCCACAGCCGCAAGTTTGGGAAGATCCATGACTTGCAGCCAGCTTTCAAACCCATTTCCCCCCTTCTAACCTGCTAGTCTCATTGGGTTCACTCGTGTTTCGCATCGTTCCCCACATACCTGGCGGAAATGGTTCACTCTGTACATTTTTCCCGCTGGAAGCCCCCGACCCTTAGCCAAAAATCCTAAGCCGTCAAACACCCAATCGAAGCCCTACGCCCCAAACCCTGAGCCCTTATCCTCATATAAAACTATGTCGCACCCTTATATGTCCCTATATAACTTCTCTGTAGGTCCTGTATACCCCGGCGGAACCCCTTCAAAGAGTCCATACCCTAAGGGTCCAAGGACCCAAACATTGGGGGTTGAGGGCCCAAATACTAGAATATTAATGGTATTTGGGCCCTAAAGCCCTATTACTTGAATCCTTGGACCCTTAGGGATAGTGAGGCAGTCCATCTTTCACAAGTGGCACGTCCTTGGTGGCCTGACCTGCTTCATCACAGGAGGCGGCGGAGGCCTGCCAAGTGGGTGGGGGATATGAGTTGTTTTTGTGTATGAATGTGTGTGTATATATATATATAAATATAGAGATATGTAATGTGCATACATATATATATATATACACACATATTCCTGCATTATAGGGACATATGAAGGATTCTATGCGCTGTGGTAGTGTGGCACTGATTCGGGCATCTGGTAAGTGCGTGACGGGTTGCTTAGCGATGGTGGTGTTTGCACACATTTTTGCCCTCTGGGGATACCTTGTAAGGATGTGACCTTGGGGGTTTATGCAGCATGCAGTTCAGAGTATTTTGCAGGTGAGGAGAGGGATATCCGCATGTCCAAGCCGTGGCCAGACAACCCAAAAGATTGTGAGCTTAGGAATTTCGATCCCTGGTGAGTATGGGGGTGTGGGGGTGCGTTGATCTGATTTGTAATTCCCCACCAGGCCAGGGGTCTGCGTAGTACGTACATGAAAAGTGCGTGGCAGCTTCTCCAACCCGCTGGGCACATATGCAGTGGCCTACGAGAAGTCGCAGCCGGAAAGGCACCGCAACCTCATGAGCATGTGGACCCTGAGGGTAAGAACAGCTTGAAATAGCAGCGCAGGATCTTCAAAGCAGAATAATTACGACTCTTGGGGGATTCTCAGGCACGAATCTCTCTCTCAGCACTTGCAGCCTACGTGCCACAAGCCCAGATATGAACCCCCGCCGTAAACTCCCAAATCTTTAACCTGATGCCCGCAAGAGCAGCATGCATTCCACTGAGGCATTACCTCGGAGAATGCGCCGGACCATAGCCACACCACAGCTTACGGTTTCTTCGACCTGGCTTTCACCAAGGAGAGCACATGCCTGACGCAGACATCAACCCAGCGCTACACTGTAGCTGATTCATGTTTGTAGTCTCGTTAGGAATTCTATTTGTCTAGGAAAAAGTTGAAGGAACTGTTGCATGTGTTTACACATATGATTGTTGTTCTAGGGCGAGGGGGATTACAGTAACATTGGGTTGTATATCATATGCTCTATATCTCGACATGGAGATAGTCATGTCCCGAACCGGCATGCTGTGGTCAAAACCAGAGATGAGTTACGCGATAATTTAGGCTGCTTCTGGGGTGCAGGGTCAGAGCAATGGGGATCAGGTTTAGGGTAGGGAGCGTTCTGTAAGGCGACATTTTGGATGTATGTGTATACATATATATATATATACATATGTCCATATGTAGATGTTTACGCCACAGTCCCCGTATAATATACCCGTTACATACAATTCCACACGTCGGCAATATCCCCGTAGCAGTTATTCCCAAGCATGGCTGTAGCCCGGTTTGCACCTTGAATGGTAGTCTGGCACTTTGCCACTGTCGTCTAAGCCCTAAACCGTATAGTCCCCCTTGAATAGATGTAGATGGAATATGGGGTATCTGGGGATCTTGTTATACTATACCCAAAGCCATATTCTATCTACTTAAGGAGGACTATAATCAGGAATCTTTGGCTGTGGACTGACCATCGTCTCACCTAAGACAAGTCGCCTAGCTACGAGGTATTAAGGCTCATCTGGGCCTGCTTTGGGGGGCCCGGGGCTGGCAGGATGGGATTGAAATTGTGAATCTGTGATGTGAAGAAATCTAGAAGCTGCAACCATGCCATAAGGACGAAACTGGGCTTAGGGTTGAGGGGGTTTAGGGGTTTGGGGTTTAGGGTTTACTGGGCTCTTGTAGAACAAAATTTTACATTTTTATCGATACCTGGGCCCAATATCAATTAAAAAACGATCTTTTTTAATGGTATTTCAACGAGAACCCAGGAAATTCTGAAAGTTACATATGTCCCCCTTAAGTAGATAGAATATGGCTTTGGGTATATAATAATAAGATCCCCATATACCCCATATTCTATCTACTTAAGGGGGACTATACACATTTTGGAGCTTCCCTCGGCCCGCAGCTCTCAACCCTAAGCCTTGAACGCTAGCAAGCGCATCAGGACTCGCTACACCTCGAGTCCATCAACTTCCTCGGAAACAAGGTGGCTGGGTTGCTGTTAAGGAACTTAATTTAAGCGCTTATATTGGGGAAACCCTATTACCAACTTAAATTAAGTTCCTTACCAGCAACCGAGGTGGGCTCAGCCACCGTGACGCCAGTTGGCCTGAACGCAGTGACAGAATCTGAGTCTGAGTCTGAGTCTAAGTAGAGGAGACAGGCAGAGCCGTCTCTTGCTTTTCTTACCCATCCTGAAATCTTTTGGGTGCTTTTCCGCAGTAATCTGTGGGGACAAGAGTCATGAACAGCCCTTTAGGGCATCGCTTTGTTTGGGCCCTAGTTTATTTCATAGCATGTCATAGCCAGGCAAGTCTTTGTGCAAGTCTTTATGGTTTTCCTGGTGGTTGGGCACGACGGTGCCAGACAAGTAGTCGCATGTACCTGGAGGTTCATGGGTAGCTATAAGTAGGGTTATAAGTGCCCGACAGGACACACTGACTTCTCTGTCGCCTAACTTGCCCAGTTAGAATCACCTTAGACCCCAAACCTCATACTTCGATAGCTATGCGTGTAGCTCCACTCATAACTCCCCATGAGCCTCCAAGTAGTCGTGGAAGCTCAGCAAGCCGCTAGAGGCCGCGAGAGGTTTTGGATAAAATCTGCCGCGCTGTGTGAACTCTAGAAATCGTTTTTTTTGCATTACATTTTTCATGTTTGATAGGACGTGACATGGGAAATGCTGTCTCAAAAAGTAGTTTCCATGTCTCCTCCTTGTTTTGCGTGGGTGTTTTGCCTTCGGGAGCATCTGAATCACATGAAGGTCTGTTCTGGGAGCCCGCTGCAGCGCAGAGTTGTGCAACGCGAGTGCACGAAGAACCTTGATTTGAACTACCTGGACCTTTAAAGTAGGTAAGATAATAGCCCAAAAGCCTTACAATCAGCCCAAAGGGCTTTTATTCTACATATTTTTCGGGTTTAGGTAGGGAACCTTGATTTACGATCATGGATGGGAACGTAGCCAAGAAGTGCGCAGAAGCAACTCAACTGTCTTTCCCGGCTCGCAGCTTTCAAGTCAGCAACTTACAACCAGGCAGGAGCTCCAAATCTAAACTCGTTCATGTTTGGATAACCACGACTGCTCACTACTGAGTCATTCCTGTAGTAGTGAAATATTTTCAGCGATCCTTGAACCCTTCAAGCTCCGTGTTCAAACTCCTAGGCCTGTTTCTCCAGCACCTGAAGGGCAAGCTCACGGCCGCCCAACCTCGAGCCTGAAACCTTGAAATCCCTACCCCGAAGCCCACCCTAACACCCCAAGTCTCTAGACCTCAAATCCCGAGCTTATCCCCCTGGCTTGCGGTGGATGTTGTGCTTTCGGCTGCGCTGGCCACTGCGCTGTGTGGGTCTAGGACAGAAGGCCGCGTGGCCAAGTTCGCTGTTTTTCTGTGAGGGCTCAGTATGAGTCCCGATATGTTTCATGGGAAGGTATGTCTGACTGGGTTTGCGGAATGTGCCCTAGGCTTTCAGATGAGGCATAGGTCCTCCCTTGTTGGGAGTTTCTAAAAAAGGTCTCTATGACAGCTTTCAGTTGTGCTTCAGAACTGCCACTTGGCAGCTTAAGGTTGTCTACGGCCGACTTTGGAAGCCCAGAAATATCATGCGCCCATGCTGTATCCATGAGATCTTGAATGGAGGCCATGGCACCTTGGCAGCTCTTACCGCGATAGGTAGAACAACTAGCATGACAGTATGACTGCTAGTCCTTCTACGATTAGTATTTAAGGGGCTGCGTGCAGGAGCGGGCAACGCAGGCAAGGACCACCCCTTCCGGCGCCCCTTCATGGACCAGCATCATCATCATTGGAGGCTCGTTTCTCCAATCTGAGGTCTTCAAGCACCCCCTCCAACCTGCAAAAATTGGTGCCCGAGCCCAGATGGTCCTCGGGGGCTAGTCAAACACGTCCGTGCTCATGATTTTTGGGGGGTGTGCTGGGACCCCAAAATCCACCAAAAATCCATCCGTAGCGGGGGCATTCGCTTCAGAACCGCTTGCCAATTTCGGCTTGGTTTTACAGCGGGGTCCGAAAAGGCCTCTTGGAGAAACGGCGTTCGCTCCATGGCTGGCGAAGCTAAGGCCGTGGCCTGGCGGCTGAAAACCGAGGGCGTTGCCCGATTTTACCACCACCACCACCACCACCACCACCACCACCACCACCACCACCACCACCACCACCAGAGCGCTGCCGCCGCCACTGTTGTTGTGTAGCTCGCAGCGAACAAGAGAGCAGCGGCCTGTCATTCAATGCAAAACCAGGACTTCACCATGTCCTAAAGGGGTCTGGGTCCAACAGGGTACGTACCAGGGAATGGAACCTCGGGAGCAAAAGAGCAGCTTAGGGAGCTTTCGGGATTGCTAGGTTAGCTAACCCCCTTGAACCACTTCCTTCAAGGACACGGTAGAGAAGGCCATGCTGCGTCTTTACTCCCTGGCGATTCCAAGAACCCATGGGCATCCAAGTCTGGGAGTCAGACCTACTTTGAGCCGTACTCGTCCACAGATAGTACCTGCTTCGAGGTTTCTGTATGCCTAGAAAAGGTTTGGTGTATTTGGCCTGCGGTACGGTCTGCGACTTGGGGGGTAGTAGCTACTCTGCGGCTGTATGCGGGGGTTAGGTAGTTTCTTATATTATAGCGTACATGAGCCATTTCCAGGAGCTCCATTTGACCACAGCCAAGATGTAAGAAGACACACCTCCGGCTTGGCTGTGAAAAGTTCTCAAACAAGCACGGAACCTCCACAGCGTCCCGACCCTGCAGTTTGTTGCGGGCATTATTCCTGTGACTATAGCTATCGGCATTGCTATCAACATTTCCAGTTTCTGCCAACATGAGCTTTTCAAGTTCCATACTACAGCAGGGAACCACAACCCAAACCTCACCCGAGGGATCCAAGTATACAAATAGTACCTACATTGGGCCCTAAAGTCTGTAAACATTACCCACCCTAAACCCTAGACTCTAAACCCTAAATAGTAGTTTCCATTTTATTTTTCTCTTATCCCATTACCGACATGATCCATTGTCTAAACTCCTAGTATCCCCCTTAATAACCCCTATAGTAGTTCCCTACATACCCTTTAAGGAGTTTAGACTATGGCTCACATTGGGCTATTTGGATCCTAGGGTAATACTCTGAGCCTGCGCCAGAAGGTGCTATGTCCGTAAATGATTGGTTTGGACCTCATGTCCTGCCCTCAGCTGCTTGAGGTGATGTAGAAGCCCGAGATAGGGGGGTTTTAGGGTCTAGGGTTTAGGGTCTAGGATCAGGGTTAAAGGTTGAGGGTTTAGGGTTTAGGGTCTAGGGTTTAGGGTCTAGGGTTGAGGGTACCGTCCTCATATAGTTCTAGTATAGGACACCTTTTGACAGTCTTCCATCAAAGTAGGCCGCGACATGAGGGGCCGAGCTGCTTGACATGGTTGCAGTAGGGTCTGGTGTACACGGGACTTGGGGTTTAGGGGTTGGGGCTTTACCAAAGGTTCCAGGGTTGTAGCCCTAAGATCGTACCCCTAAAAGGTTCCCCACTATGGCCTCAATGTGGCCGTTATATGAGCCAAAGTAGTCCCCTAGGGTCCCTTAGACGGATCTCAAAACCCAGGGGTACAACCCTAGGGGTACAAGCCTGAAACCTTTCAGTTCAGGGCTTGGGGTTTAGAGATGAGGCCGCGTTCCACCCTCCTCCCCAGTTCTCTTGGACGCGCCCTGCCCTGATACATACTACTTAGTATTTGAACTCGCAAGTTTCAAGATCACCGTAAGAGGATTTCAACTAGGGCAAGGGGATAGTGAATTTTAGATTCAATTTCCCATGTAGCTGATTAGGGGCGCCCCTCGTTCAGAAGATTTGTATCCACGATAAGTACGCGCATCCCAACATCAAATACCGCACGCATCCCAACATCAGATACCGGTACATACTATGTATGTTCGGATTACCTGCAGAACTAGATATTGTCTGACAAGGCTTGAATCTGAACACATAGGGGGGGCGGTCAATTTTGCAATTGGATACCTTTTGGCAAGGAGGGTCTCGTCCAGGATCCTGAGCAAATTGAAGCCTAGCCCTAAGCTTACTGGTCGCTAGTAGGGCATTGAGGAATGGATCCCTTCGGTAGCCGCTATAGACAATCCTCAATGATGTAGTCATTTCCATGTTCTGTTCCATTCGTTCA